ATGCTTCCCCTGGGTTTGGCAGAGATTTTATAATCGAATGGCTTCAGTGTTAAACCATACGAGCAGTTTAAAGTCAAGTCCTGTGATGGGTCGCTCTCGAAAGTCAGCTGGTGGATCAAAATGGCAGAAATCAGGAAAACTTCCACTTTTGCGATTTGATCGCCAATGCATCTCCTCCTCCCAATGGAGAAGATCATCACGCTGTTGGTCAGGTCTTTATCCAGAGCGCCGTTCTCATCCAGGAATCTGGACGGGTTGAAGATGTGCGGATCGCTCCACTTTTGAGGGTCGTGGTTGACCGACCATTGGTTGATGAAGACCACGGTGTCTTTGGGGATGTGGAGACCTTCAATGGTGACGTCTGAGGTGGTGGAGTGCGGGATGGTGACGGGGACGAAACTGGTGAAGCGCATGGTTTCGTAGATGAATGCATCCAGATAGGCCAGATTGCATCTATCTTCTATTGACGGGAGTCTGTCACGACCCACAACCTTATCAATCTGCTCTTGAAGTTTGCTCTGAATTGATGGATATTTAACAAGCAGCAGAAGCATCCAATTAAGCGCAGTGGAAACAGTGTCCAAACCTGCACCAATCAAATCAGACACCGTGCCTTCAGTATGAGCCTCAGTCAAACCCGTTTCCTCATCTGCATGATCCATTACACCAATAAACGCATCACTCATGTCTCTAATCACCTCAGGATCGTAGCTTAGTCTGTGCTCCACCACTTTACCCTTAACAAAGGAGAAAAAGTCACTATTAAGATCTTTGAAGCTCTGAAAAATGCTTCTTATGGGATTGGGGAACGTTTGCAGCCAAGGCATGACGTCCACCAGACTTCCAGCTCCCACTGTTTCGCTAAACTTATTCACGTTTCCTAAGAGAGTCCTGAATTCGAGATCATCATGTCCGTAGCGCTTCCCGAAACACAGAGCGCAGATTATATTAGCCGCTGCCACCGTGAGTTCATGTGAGGGATTGAAATGTTGGATCTTTAGAAATGTTTCCACTAGATCCACAGCTTCAGCGACAATATGCTTTTCGAAGGATTTCTTCGTTTGGCTGTTTGCACTTGAGAACGCGCGAATGGTGGATTGAGCGATTTTTCGGTGCATCTTCCATTGCTTGCTATAACTGGCAAACGTCATGCTGGTCCCGCCGGAAACGTATTGAAATGACACAAAGTTGGGTCTTCCTGCAAATTCAGTGCTGTGTTGAAGCAATGCGCTGCGTATGGCAGACTCTCCATTCAGAACCACAATATCGCTGCTGCCCAGTCTGATCTGGTAGACGTTTCCGTACTTCTTTGCCAGTTTTGAGAAGGTGATGTGTGGCATTTGTCCGAGCTGCATGGCGTTTCCAACAAGCGGCCAAGCAAAGGGTCCCGGAAGTCTCTTTTTTTTAAGAGTGATATTTCTAACCCAAAAACAAGCCTCCAGACAGCAGAGGATGATGAACGATGCAATGAGCGCCGGCTGAATTTGTCCGCTCCATTCCTTGAGGATGCTGAACTCTGAATCCGACTGCGCCATGCTATCCCAATAGTTAATTTAGCATAAACAACGTTTGTATTAATAACTCCCCATCTTAAAAACGAGCCTCAACGCCCTGCTGTTTTCTGCCCTCTTCAGTTGGAGGTTTACCGGAGGATGGCTCAGGTTTTTTTTTAACAGAGCTGCGGTGTCTGTCCAAAGATGACCAAATTAGAGGAATGCAGATTTCTGGCTTGACACACTGGGTTATATATCTGTAGAGGAGGAGGAGTTTGGGACACAGGTTTGTTTTTATTCTCCCCAGTTTTCTCAGACTCTCCACCCATTACGGCCGAAGCCTGGACACACACTGGACTCCCAACACATTCCTGGTCCATCCACTGATGCATGACACTTCAGACAACTATGTGTAATCCCAGATGAAAAATAATACTGTAGTGCTTTTGAATTATACTATAATAAATGTATTATACTGTATGCATAATAGCGTCTTACTCATTGTTAGTGAACGCTCCAGCATACTATAGTATTACTGAATTTCATTTATTCATTCATTTGCTTTTCGGCTTAGTCCCTTTATTAATCAGGGATCGCCACAGGGGAATGAACCGTCAACTTATCCAGCATATGTTTTACGCAGCGGATGCCGTTCCACCTGCAACCCATCTCTGGGAAACATCCATACACACTCATTCACTCAAATGCCAACTAACCCTGCTGAACCAGTGACCTTCTTGCTGTGAGGTGATCGTGCTATCCACTGCACCACCGTGACACCCGCATTTGTTTATATTACCATAGTTGTGTTACCATAGCATCTAAAGAATCACCCCAACAGATTAAATACTGTAGTTGTTGCGTTACCATATCAGCTATAGAATCACAACACAAGTACTTTACTATAATATAGTGCACAAACTATATTTGCTAGAAATTACTATAGAATTTTTTTTTCATATGGGATATATTGCATTTAATAATAAAACATCAAATTATATATATAT